CAGCTGTTTAGCACAGTAGTCAGGCTTTGTAAATTGTACCATGGACTAACTAGTTCAGGGGTAGGCAACCTTGGCTCTTTTATGACTCGTGGACTTCAACTCCCAGAATTCCTGAGCCAGCATGGCTCAGCTTGGAAACCTCTCCCTTTCCCCTCAGGTGGCTGGCTCAGGAATTCTGGGAGTTGAAGTCCACGAGTCATAAAAGAGCCAAGGTTGCCTGTCCCTGAACTAGTTTATCTATCAATATTATGACCCTCTGCCATCAGGCTTAACATTGAAGTAAGATACTGGATTTTTCCATTCTCCATAGACAGACACCAGACAAAGACATTGCCAGCTTCATCCAGGCAGGCCAACTGGTTGGAGTTAAGGTGAGCAAAAGCCAGATCTGCCACGCCACCCGTGAAGCCTTTCAGAAGCGTCCGCTCAGCCGTGCTGACACTCAGCACCCGCACCATGGCAGAACCACTGCTGGCACCTGGAGAAAAGGGCAAAACATACCTAGTCAAGATGGGCAGAGGAATGCTAATTCCCCTTTCTGTTGTAGAGATGGAACCAGGTCCAGCACAGGCCACTGGGCAAAAGTTACGCTGCAAAAGAAGCCCAACCTGAAACTTCAGAATGGACAGGAGGAGGATGGGGAGATGTCTCACCTCGAATAGCATAGGCCAGGTAGGCATTTGAGACAGCAATGAGGTTGCCATAGTAATATTTCTGCTCCCAGTCATATCTGGCTACTGGCTGGATTTTAACCTGGTGGGGGAAAAAAAGAAACAAAGCAAAAGTTGTACCATGGGAATCAATTCAATACCTATCAAAAAGGAAGGCCATACCTAATAAAGAAGGCCATCTATGGCAGGGGTAGGCAACTACGCCTCTTTAAAACCTGTGGACTTCAGTTCCCAGAATTCCTGAGCCAGCAAGGGAGCTGAAGTCCACAGGACGTAAAGGGGTCATTGCTGCCCGCCCCTGATCTATGGCTGTTCTATGACAGTAAGCTGTGAAAGTGAGAAGGAGATGGCCATTGTCTAACCTGTAGTAGAAGGAAACGTGAAAAGGAACCAAATCAGCAAACAAGCAGGTTTACCTTGTCAAACCACTACTTTTGAATATTTTAAAATGTTTCTTAGCGACGAGGAATCAGGAACGATATGAAGAAGGAAAGAATATTGTCTACTGCATACAGACATATTGGACAACAAAATAACAAACCTTTTGTTCCTTAACAAGACATAAATAACTAGCTGACAATATCTGAAATTACAATTGCACATGGATTGACAAGGTGGGTAATATAACTGAGCAATTTTAAGGGACTTTGTTAAAGAGACCGACTGATTGGCAGAAATATACATGAAGGCAGATTTAGAGTGCCATCATTAATTTAGTATTCCAAAAGATGTTAACTTTCTTTGGGGGTTTTATCCAAATAACTCTAATGCATAGTGTTTTCCTACCGTACCGGTTTATTCACAGATAAATCTGAAGGGAGAAAGGACTGAAGTGTGTTGGACTGAAAATGGAAAGAGAATGGGGGAAAGAACTGCCAATCTCCCATGCATTAACTAAAGTGTCTTCCAATCAATCTACCTCTCTTGGATCACAGCCAGCCAATATATCAAGGCCATAATCTCAAGCGCAATGTCTGAACACATACCCAATATAACATCTGCATCTGCCAATGCTCAATTATTTTTTTTTACATATTTTAGAATGTTTTATATATTTTTTTCTATTATAATACCAGTATCGGTATGAGCTTATCATCAGCAGGTGAGAAGGGAGTTATGAGCTACGAAGAAGGTAATTTCTTGTATTTACCTTATTGCTTCCTCTTGCTTTACTGGTGATGCTAGAATCGCTGCTGGCCACTATTTCAACATCTTTAGCAACAATCACCATACAGGTGGAATTATCATCTCCAGAGAGGCAGCTAAAAAGTGGCCGGGGCAGGCAGTAGAGAGAAAAAGAAGTCAGTTTCCAGGATATTAAGGGTAACTTTTTTCTCTGAATTGTTCAGAGTCAGGACTGTGCTCACCATACGCATAGAATCAAGCAGATGACTTTGCTACTGCCTTGCAGAATTCCCAACAATGTATTTTACAGATCCAGATTGAATAAAAATGGGCAAAAGAAAACAAACCAGGAGCAGCAAGAACAATAACCCAAAGAACGAAATAAACCAGGAACAATAAGCCTCAACTGACAATGACTGCTCTTTTATAAGACTGGTTTCTCCCGTGCTCTTCTAAATCAACCTTCCCCAACCAGTTCTGGTTTCTCTCCAAATATGCTGGACTTCTACTAACAGAGTGCCTGAAGCCGAAGTTCATTTGGAGACAAGCAGGCTGGAAAATGTGGCATTAAACACCAATTGGTGAGGCACATCAATAGACTCAACCCACCCCAGAAACTATACACCATTTTACAAAGCCTTAACATTAGGGATACCAGAATGGATGGGAATCCAATCTCTGTAAGGAGAAAACATTTGCCAGGATGCTTCTTGATAAGCTTATTCCAGAGACCACAAAATCACACATATTCTGCCCTTTCACTTTTGCCTCACCAATTAAGATACCTACATAACTTGCTTCTCCTGTAGTGCTCCAAGAGGAACAGTTTGTGGAACAGGCTTAGTTGAGGATGAGCCATCTCCAGCTGCGGTGGGATCTGGCACCAGAAGGCCATTCAGGTCACCATTATATGAACTGGATGTTCTCTGGTTTTCATTCACTGACCCTGAAAGATATGAAGAATGGGGAAACCGAGAGAAAAACCAAGATTCATATGTACTTAGTCTTGTCAGAGTTGTATATATTTTAAATTAGCCTGCCTTTTACTAAAGTACTGTGTACTACTGATTTATAAAACAGCAGTGTTTTTCATAGAACAAAGGCAGATTTGCACTTAATTCCAGAAGTCTATTTTGGGCAGAGAGGGAAAAAAGAACTGTCTTTCCATTCTTGCTGATTTTTGGGGGGGAGGTAGAAACTTGGCTTTCTGTTACAAATCACCCATAGATTTAAAAGCATATCCCAGTCTACAATCTAATTGTAGGGGTTTTTTTTTAAATGAGTTTTAGATAAATTGTTTTCAATAGAAGCCAAGTGAATAGTAGCTTGATACGCTTCAACTTTAATCTATAATATTACATCAAACATTTTGTTCATGGCCAAATTATTGACTCTTTCTAGAACAGCTTTCCCCAACTTAGACTTTCTCCAGATGTATAGATTTCGACTTACAAAAAGTTCCATTTCATGATTTCCCCAACTTTTCAAGGGCTTTAAATATCCCTACAAGACTTTCAAATGAAGTATATCAAGCTACTATTCACTTTGCTTCTATTTAAAGGAATTTATCTAAAACTCATTTTAAAAAAAACCCTACAAGACCACATAAATTTTCACACAACACAGAAAGTATCAAAGCAATTGCCCAAGTATTATCATACTGCAGTTTTTATAAAGACAACCACACTCATTATTTATTACCACTCTAAATGTCAAACAGCAAGTAAGGTTTGACAAAAGAGGACAAGCACAGAGATGAGCTAGCACTAATGCAAGTATTCAAATGATATATTTGTGGTTTATATTTATAATTTTACACCACAAGTCAGTCCTCAAAATAAACAAAATTATTGTTATTAACCACACAATGTTACAGAACAACACAAGCCATTTTCTGTGCTGCTAAGCATGGAAATTACAACATTCTGAGTACCAGTGGACAGAATAGTTTAATAAGGGGACCTTGGCTATAAGGATGAATATGCAGAAATGTTTCAGCAATGCTTTCTTTTTAAAAAAAACACCACCATTTTTAAAATGGCTTTTTAAAAAAGTGCAAATATCTAATTGTTAGATTATTATCAAAACCAATAATCAAAACCAAATAAGCATTAATTAAGTATAAAATCACTACGCTGAATTAGTATCTTGGCACGAACCCTTAAATTTGGGTGCGTGGAGGAGTCCTTGTAGGAAACATGTTGTGTGAACAACTAAACAGGTTGGAGAGACAGCTAGATGGATTTAGTTAGCACCAAACAAGAAGGCAGATAGAAGTTTAACCTTAAATTTGAATGGAGGGGGGGGGGAAGGTTTTCTTTAGATAGTCTGCCTATATTTTAACTGCTGTGGAATTCGGGGGGGAGGGAGGGTTGAAGCCCACCCATGTTAAAAGAGGGCAAGGTTAAAATACGCCGATTTAGAGGATTGGATAAACTAAAAAAAAGGCTGAAAATAGAACAGAAAATGTGGATTACATAAACGAACATTGATCCAAGAAATCTGAACACAGAATACTACCGTATATATTCTGTACAGTGCTAGGTATCGAAGATAAAAGCATGAAGTGAAAAATTATCATGTAGCTTTTGATTAAAAATTTTAAATAAAAATATGTATAACAAATACTGATATATTTTAAAAAAAATTAAAAAAAATTTTGTATGTATTTTAATGTTATTTTAGAGTCACAGTAAGTGTATACTAGTGTGTAGTAATAGTGAGTAGTTGGGGATAGAATTTGATTATTGTGTGTTTATTTCCTAGATTAGCTTTGGGAAGTCCTGGGGCGGGGGAGGGGGGGAAAGGGGTAGGTTTGTATTATAGGTATATTACATGTACGATTTTTTTTTTTCTAAGGAGGTGTCCGGTGGTGCCCCAACTGCACAAGACGGGATGGTTGAGTGAGGAAGGGAGGTAGGAAAGAGGGAGGAAGGAGGAGTGGTGGTAGTTTGGGAGGAGGAAGGTGTGGTAAGTGGAAGAGGGCGGTGCAGGGGGGGGGGGACACCGGACACGTCTGTGAATGTATTGATTAGTGTTATTCTTTTGGGTTGATATTGTGATAAAAGATCTATGTTTTTTGTTTTTAATTGAAAAATTAATAAAAAATTTATTATATATTTATAAAAAAAAAGAAGCAAGTGATATATTGATGCTTTTTATTCAGTGAGATCTCCTGCCTCCCCCCTTTTAATCAAAACCTGAGATGCTCTGGACTGGGTTTAGTGGGAGCTGTTCCCCAACCAGTTTGCACAGGTCAGCAGCCTCTTATTAATTATCACCCCCATCATCCGCTTCGGGTAGGGCTGAGTCCCAGCGGATTTGCTCCCAAGCCAAGGCAGGGGATGTTATCCCCCCGCCCCGAGGGCAAACCTCTGCCTCCGCCTGCCCGGCAACCGGGGCCCTTCAGACGGGGCAATGGCGAGGAGGGAAGGGAAGGGCAGCCGGCTTCCCTGCAGGGCGCCGGATCTGGGAGAGAAGCTGCTTCTCGTTTTTTCCGGACGGCGCCAGCGCATCAGGGCGGCCACTCGCGCTGCCCCCTCCAGCCCCGCAGCGGAGCGTCTCTGCCCAGCGCCAGACCCCGCCCGAAGCGCCGCCAAGGGCCGCCGCCCGAGACCCGCGCCGCGTCTCACCGCCCGGCCGATCCAGCTTGAGGATGTCGCGCAGGTGCTGGGTCGCGTCCTCGATGTCGATGCTAGCGGAGGCCATCGGGCCCCGCCAAGGCCGAAGCCGCCTCTCACGCCCGCCCGCCGCCCAGACAGGCCGAGCCCGACTCGCCCGCCCCCACTTCCGCTTCCGGTCCGCACGGCTTTCTCCTCCCGTCGGAAACCGCATCCCGGCGCGCGGGTTCCTCCCAGCGTCGCCGCCGCCGAGGGCGCTCGCGGGAGTGGGAAAACACGCGTCGAGGGGTTGTGTAGAAAAAGGGGCGAAAGGGGAGCGGGGAGTCCTTCCTTCTCCGGCCTTCCATGGCCGGGCTTTCCTTGAGCCCTCCAAAGCGACAGGAGACAGCCGGGCTAAGATTGCAGGGAGGCGTCTTTTTCAAAGAATAGGGCGGCAGTCCAAAGCTGCCTGGTTCTGTCTTGTTGCGGAGATGCTTTTGGGCTGCATCAAACGAAAATGTAGGTATAGGTTTTCCCCGGACAGGGGGATAGATTCCCCTTGCATATATATCTATATACAGCCTCATACAAAGATGCGAACACATCCCGCCATCCCGTCCCGCCTTCACCAATGTACACGTTACTTTTTTCAGACCGACAGGTCAGTTGTATACATTGATTTAATCAGTAAGTAACCGAGTACAGCGATTCTTATTTCTAAATGTGCACGGGGTTGCTCCATAAGGAGTCTCGGGAAGTCCTGCTGCTTAAGAAGTTGTATGTTAAACAGCCATTTCAGTGATGCACTGGCTCCTCATTAAACACTCTGTCTAGAAAGTAATTTGTATTTCCTCTCTGCATAAAAAAAGCATGTAAATACTATTTATATAGGGAGTCCTCGATTTACAAGAGTTCATTTAGTGACTGTTCAAAATTACAATGGCACTGAAAAAGGTGACTTATGACCATTTTTCACACAACCATTGCAGCATCCCCATGGTCACGTGACCAAAATTCAGATGCTTGGCAACTGATTCATATTTATGACAGTTGCAGGGTCCTGGGATCGTGGTCGTCTTTTGTGACCTTCTGACCAGCAAAGTCAATGGGGAGTCCAGATTCACTTAACCACGTTACTAATTTAAGAACTGCAGTGATTCACTTAGCTGCGGCAGAAAGGTCATAAAATGGGGCAAAATTCACTTAGCAACAGAAATTTTGGGCTCAGTTGTGGTCGTAAATCGAGGACTACCTGTATTTAATAATTTGACAATACAATGAATTACCAATGATACTGGTAATATTTGATCATGGCAGATGAGTGTAGAAACGATATGAAAATAAAAGGAGAAACTTCTGCATTATTGTACTTATTATCCAGCTTCTCCCATAGAAATGTAGACGTTTTGCTGAAGAGTTAAAGACTGTTCCAGCAAACAAATCTCTGTATTAAAGACAGGTATTGGTAGGCAAGATTAAGAAACATGATGCACCAACCACAGTTCTCCATTAATCTTAGATTTTATGTTCTTGCAGAAAAGTTGTCAAATCTTTGCAACAAATACAGGAATAGTTTTTTAAAAAAACTTTTCTTCAAGAACTGTGTGAAATATTGACAGCTGACCACCCCATTCATTTCTCAGTGGCTTGTGGCTTGCATAGAAAACTGGGAACATTGTGGAGTTGGAATAAGTCTAGAATGGCGATACTCTGTGGTGGAAAATTACAGTACAATTCAGTGTAGGACTGTACAATACTTGACCATAACATCCTAATTAGGATACATGTGAAGACTTAACTCTCTGGAGAAGGCTATCTTGCTGGAAAAGGTGGAAGGAAAACAGGACAATCAGCAAAAGGTGGATAGAGGTAATGGAGATGACATTGGAAGAGTTTGAAGGTCGAAGTTAGAGAGATTATTCTGACTGGTTCCAATGTACTATTACCCCAACAGAAGGATCACAAACCAAATTACTGTAAATTGTTCAAGGTATGATACATGTAAGAGGTGCTAAAATTACCTCTTTATTATACATCACAAAATATGTCACATAGAAATGGCAGAAACTTGAAAAAGGTTTTTGTTTTTTTTACTAAGCTATATTTTGCTTACAGGCATATAAAGAATTGTTTCTTTGGCAGGCAAGCACCAGAATTCAAAAAGGATAATTTAAAAGCATTTTTATTTTAGAGTGATTATCTCTCGCTGGATATCTGACCACCTTTTTCACGGTCATTGCTTCACTATAGTTAAACAGCACCAGAATGCCTACCTTCATTTTCATTGTTTCTTAAATTTCTAAGCTTAGCCTTACAAAGAGTGCTTGTTAAAGAATTTTATTAGTACATTTGCCACAGGTACAGTCTTAAACAAGCCAAGATTACACAGCCCATAACGGAATGGGTAGATAACCTTACTCCACAAAACCTCAGCATATTTATTGGTAAAACTAGCGATGCTCCGCAAACCAAGCTTCACAATATTAAAGTCTGCTTTCTTTACCATGTACATCAAGTATTTGTTATGAAGCAGTGTGTAAACTCAGCAGTTCTTGAATACATTTTGCTTCCGGCAACTGATGCCAAATTGAATAGTATACTAGCAAAGTTTTAGGGCACTTTTGTATCAAAGTGAAAAACAAGAAGGAGAAAGAACTCTAGAGCTTATGACTTACATATGTGGGCCTTGAAAATGTGTTTTGTTTCTTGTCCAGCATTTTACAAAAACAGATAGAACGTGCCTGGTGAACCATAAAATATAGTAGATGGGTTGTGAGCATGGTGAGTCACGTCTACACAGACCTGATCTACACATATCCCAACAGAATATCCCTTTTAGTATTTTTATAGAAAGAACACTGTTTATTTAAACAGCAGCTCAATAACCTTAATCTATTTACATGTCTTCTATATTCCCAGACCTAATATTTTATTATCCTTTCTTGCAGCAACTAATGTCTTTAGGATACATTTTGCCCTTCCAGCATGCAATTCTAATTCAGAAATAGTTTATATAAACTTTCCTTCCTGCAGCTTGAACCAGGGAAGAAAGCAGCCAGTTTTTGCTTCCAACTAAAATCTTAGCTTCGCTTAAGGAAGGGACAATGTCTAATCGAATGCCAGGTACTAATACTGAAAGCTGAAGTAGCCACAGTTCACAGCGTGTGGAAAAATAGTCATTTCTTCCTTACGGATGACAAAAGGCATTCCTCATTTGCTTAGCTAAAAAGAATAAAGCCTCTTTAGGCAAAATGTGTTCCTATGAATACGCATTCAAGGAATTTTTCTAAGGCATTTTGTTTATATATGGCTATTACATACTGCTTCATTAAGGCATATACCTATTCAACCAAAACGTGACACCATGCAATCCTTCCAAACGTTCACTAGCCATTCTGAATAGGGTGGTGCTGAGATACCCAAATTAAACTTTCCTTCATCACTAATTCTTCATAAAAAGAATCTTGTCACCAGCTTTGAATGCTACAGTGTTGAAAACAAATTCCATCGACAATAGTTTTCAACTAAACCTGTACGTAGGTACTAACATGCTAGCTTTTATGATCCATTGCCCAGCCCAGACTGATTAATTTCAACGGAAAGTTAGGACATTCTGAAGCTTTATATGCTAACCTTTTAAAATTGTGACAAGCTTCAAAATGCATTCCTCTTTTTAAAAAAAAACACAGCTATTCAGCTGGTGTGTACAATTGCAATTTCTTAACAGGCACGGGCCTAAATTAATGAATTTGAACTCAGTTCTTCCAAAATTGAACATCAATGATTAATAACTGCATACTTTTTTTTTTTTTGCTGTTCGTTAGCATGTGGAATTAGGCTGTGTTAACCTGATTGCCAGCCCAGCTTTAAACTTTTAAGTTTAGAAAATAGAAAAATAGACTTGGGATGGCGTAAGGCCTATGAATTTAAACACCCAGAAGAACAATCTGGCCATTTTGAAGATAACATTTCTTTTCTGTAACTTTTATCAGCTTTGCAGCAAATGGTACTTCAAAAAGAACTTCAAATACTGACCCAACTGGACCATTAAAATGGTGCTACTGGTGGCACTTAGCTGTTGTTTATTGCAACCAGGATGCAGCAGACACTTGGGATATCAAAATAAGCGACAGGCAATACGGAATGGGATCTGGCACTCTCCTGATCTGGATCAAAGGTAACATCTCATTTTGAAACTGGTGCCCTGAAGATGCTGAATGCAATGACGACTCAGCTTTTGATTATCAAAATCAGAATATCATGATGCCGACTAGGAAAGGATAACATGGAGAATTAAGCCTCAAAAAAAGCACATGCGCATTGTTGGTCTTCACAGTCTTTTATCTATATCTGCATAATAGTATAGAAAAAAAATTGACTTGAGGTTCAGTATAATAAACTTGCTGCACATGTAGTTAATATAAATCTACATCATGATTCTCAGGGAGAGGTAAGATTTCCCATTTCAGGTTTGAAAGCCATTATTCAGTGCCACATCCACGTTAAGCTTCCAACCCAAAGCAAACAAGAGCACAAAGCATACGTGGAAATTTTAAAACTTAAAAACTTATGTCCAGCCACATATTCCCAAAACTGAGAATTCAAACAGAGAGTTGGAAATACAAGACTTTCCATTTACAGACTGAAGATCCAACCATTTAAACTGTTAAGAAAATCACATGGTTTTATTGTATAATGTAGCACTGTAACATTTGAACAACAAAAAAAAAGAGAGAGAGATCAATTATCTGAGTTGGCTTCAGGCTGGCTATTCTTTAATATCCTTTTTGTTTCTTTGGGTTATTAGAGAAACTTGTCAGTACAGAAACAGGACCATTTGTATTATGGATTCTTCCCAAGGCATGCTGGTAAAACATACCCTTTCTTTGTCAAATGCAGCTAATTCTAACTTCCAAACATCATGCACAAGGAACTCTTCTAGTGGCACAACATAAAACTCTTCGGAAGGGTATGTCACAAGTCTTGCTTGCTTGCCATGGTGTGCAGGTTTGTGTATGATATTTGGAATGTTCCATGGGTGTGATTAATATTGGTAAGAAGGAGAGGAGGAAAAAAAAAAGGACAGGTGCCTCAGGGATGCCATTTCAACCATAGTTGTGCAATGCTAGCCTGAACATGTCATTGGTGCAAACCCAAGCATCATTGATGTTCTTTAATAGAAATATCTGGTGGAATCCGATAACAGGATCTTCATCGGCCTGCAAAGACAAATGAAAAAACAAACATTTAGATGCTTTTGAGCAGCGCATCAAATTCCTGTATAACTGGAATCAAAGGTCGTCATGCATACTTCTTGCCTTACCAGCAACTCTTTTTGACAGAAGCTAAAATTTGGCATTTTGTCTCTGTGCAAGAACACAACATGCATTTTTAGTCATGATGATGCAGAATGGCACGAATAATTAAATACCGCTGAAAACTTAAGTGCAGTTCCTGACTACCATAATAATTACTCAACGTTCCCTAATTTAGTGTTTTTCAGATGATAAGTTTCCAAAATTCTCAGCCAGGAATTTGGAACAATGGGTCCACATGACTGTGGCATTCATTTAACAACTATGATGATTTATTTAATGACTGCTACCAAAAGTGTTGGTCTGGTCAAGTGGATGCCTCAACTTAGAACTGCAACAACTTAAATCCAGAAATCTGGTCTCAACTGCAGTCATAAATTGAGGAATAGCTTTAAGTTTAAATCTGGATAATGAGCTAAAGTTTCACTTCCAGTTATAAAATATGGAACACTTCTTCCTGATGTGATGTTTTTATGACGACCTAAGGTGGAATTGTGTCTTCTCATATAATTAATCATCACGAAAATAAACTGCCTATACGCTAGCAAACACAATACTTTTGGTTTTTGCAGTACAACCAAGTGAAACCTTGATTTACTATGAACTTGATACAATGGACTTCACATTAAATGGATCAATTTTCAATCCAGACCAGTGTTTCTCAACCTCTTTATTGTGCAGAATTCCCGTACTAGCATATTGCCTAGGGAATTCTGGGAGTTACAAGTCCACACATCTTAAAGTTCTCAAGAGTGAGAAATACTGATCTAGATCATTTATGTAATAAATGACCAATTCAGTGCAATTATTTACTCTCTAATATAGTAGACATTTTATACAATAGACATTTCCCCAATTAGTCTGTTAAAACAAGGTTACACTGTAAGCTATTATTAATAAGTTGAGGTACATGGCGTTTCAAGGCTAAGGCTGTATTTGCACATTGTACTAACTCTTATGCTTGTATGCTTTGTAAATCCAGCCAGCGCATATAAACCATATTTGTGGCTTGGAAGAGTGTGAACTCACCCAGTTCTGACCTAGTCAGTTAATTATGGTTAAAGAAATTGTAGCTTAGCACAACAGATCAACTAGATTTACATGTTAAATATTTGATAAAGTTAAGAAGGAACCACGGCTATGGATAGCATGTTGTCAACAACTGGCAGTCTGGGTTAAACCAAACTAATTTGCGTTCTGGAACTGGAACTTTTGTGCTGGCTTCAGAAATTTTTCCAACTTCCCCCCAAAGTAGTCTGAGACAATCCTTACAATTGTGTGCCTAGTCATGCTACCCACCCCTGTGCAAAACTCCACTTAGAAGTCAAATCAGCTTCATGGAAGCATCTTGATATTTCAGAGTTCCCAGCTAGCACATCGTGTTGGCTGGGAACAGCTGTCCAACTGATTGGGATCGTGCCAGATTAGGGAAAGTCAACACAGAACCATAGAGGAGAGATATGAGAGCTTTTCCTAAAAGTTAGTCCTTCTGCAACCAACAATTTGCTATTTGTTTCTCTCAGCACCCAAAGTGGAAGAGTGCAGAACAGCACATCCAAGCTTTGTGAGTCCTTGTGCTTTCTGAGCTTCGCTGTTTTCTTGCAGACATCTCATTACACCACCCACAATTAAGTAACATCACCTAGCACTGACCAGGCTAGTTGAATAATAAACCTCTACAAGAAAAGAGCCAAGCTGAAAGCACCAAAGACTCCACAGTTCAACCCTGGCCTACAAATATTCTCTTCCATCGATTCCAAGATCCATCCTACTGCTCCACTCTGAAAACAACAGGCCAAATCCATTCTTTAAGCCAGTGGTTCTCAACCTTTTTAATGCCGCGACCCCAACCGGTCGTAAGTCGAGGACTAAACCGGTCGTAAGTCGAGGACTAAACCGGTCGTAAGTCGAGGACTTTCCCTGCCCGGGAGCGCCGCACATGCGTGGTTCCGCCCCCTGCGCCAGCCGAGGCGTGGCTGGCAAGCGGCAGAGACGGAGCAGGCCGACCACCAGCGGGCCCAGCTCAAGAGAGGTAAGGCACCCGCCGGAAAAGGGGAAAAAATGGCGGACAAAAAAAATGGCGGACAGCCTTGCTTGGCGACCCCCATGAAATGGTTGATCGACCCCAAATGGGGTCCCGACCCACAGGTTGAGAACCACTGCTTTAAGCCCACCTTTGCTGTGATGCCTTTTGTCTAATCCTTTAGCCCTCCTTAACTGAGAGAAAGCAGTCAATACAATTGCATTTGCCCACTCTTTGTTTTTTTTATATCCTTCTTCCTTATGAATGAAACTTCTTCCAGTTGAGACGAATGTCTTGTTTATGAACGGCATGCTCGCAATGGATTGAACTGTAAGCTGCCCTCCGCCCTGGGACCCTGGTGTAAGAGACAAGTTGCACAGTTGCACCTCTAGGCACGAATGCAGACAGTTTTCAGACATAACAAGGCAAGCTTTCGTTGTGTGCCACGCCAACGTTCCAGAGTTCTAAGCAGCCCTGTATCCTCAAGGTGTTAAAAGTAGCGACCGACCGATATCACAACACTACATTAACTAATTGGCAGCTGCTTCTGCAAAGAAAAAACGTCACCGCGACTCATTTCGAGAGTCATCCACCTGGAGCAATCCACACTGTCATACTGCAACCCTCCTCAAGTAACACACAAGCAATGTTCATGCTGTTGCAAGATCAGGTGGGGCAGAGGAAACAAGCTGAACGCTTCTTACTTAGAGAGGGGGCAGCGAAGATCAGAGTATGAGGTGGCCAGAAGGCTAAACATTGTGGAGTGCTAGCCTGAAGACTTCATTGGTGCATACCCAGGCCCCTTGTAAGTTTTTCAACAAAAAGGTCTGATGGAAACCTAGAATTTGGTCATCATCTGCCTGAGCAGGACAGGAGAAAAACATTTTATGATTTGAAAATCTCAAAATGCCGGAACCTTGACAAAAATCTGACAGGGATATATATATTTATGGCCCTTGCTAACATCTACGGGGTTTTCTATTCTTACTGAATATTCAGAAGAAGCAGTGCTGTGAAGGAGGATCAGGGGTAACACGAAACACTAGGGCACAACAGAGCTCAGCATGGCTCATCATATTTATAGCTACTTACAAGCTGCACTCTCCCGTTAATTGTTTATTAAGAGCAGATGAATCGTGTTATTGAATTCAGTTCAAGTCTTGGAGATGCGTAAAAAATGACCAAAGGGGACGTAACTTTGTAAGCCTGTTGCAATCATGATTTTTTTTTTCTGCTTAGCGACCGTGGTGTGTAGCAGTGAAGGTGCAGGTCCCAACTGGGGTCACTAAGCAAAGGCTACTTGTAAGGTTTCAAAGACAGCAACCAGCACCTTGAGTAGCCCTCAAGAGCAACTAATTCTGCCACCACAGCACTGGTGTAATATGGTCGTATCACAGCTGCCCAGACAGCACATGGACTGCTACATTTTGTATCAGCTAAAACCTCTGAGTTATCTTTCAGGACATCATCATATCCAGTGAATTGTAGTTACTTGCAGATTTTGCCAATTCCGCTATATGGTTTGCTGGACTCAGTATGTGCCCTCCTTATCTCCATGTTGCACTAGGCTTATTTATTTATTTATTTTATTTAATTTTTATCCCGCCCTTCTCCTTACGGACTCAGGGCGGCTGACAGCCTTATAAAACAGATACAACAGTAAAATTACCCAGTTTAAAACCTAATTAAAAAGAAATATTTACTGTGGCCTATGTCAATTAAAATTACTCTTAAAACCCCACTAAAAATTCCCCATGGCCAATCCCGCTTGTTGGAAGAGCCATGTCTTTAGGGCGCGGCGGAAGGAGGGGAGATCCGGGATCACCCGGATCTCTGGGGGTAGTTCGTTCCAGAGGGTGGGAGCTCCCACCGAGAAGGCCCTCCCCCTGGAGGTCGCCAGCCGGCACTGTCTGGCTGACGGCACCCTGAGACCCACTCTGTGGGAGCGTACCGGCCGATGGGAGGTAATCTGCGGCAGAAGGCGGTCTCGGAGATATCCAGGTCCGATGCCATGGAGCGTTTTGAAGATGATGACCAGCACCTTGAAGCGCACCCGGAAGGCCACCGGCAACCAGTGCAGCTCGCGCAGCAGCGGTGTTACATGGGAGCGACGAGTCCCTCCCAACACCGCCCGCGCGGCCGCATTCTGGACCAGTTGGAGCCTCCGGGTGCTCCTCAAGGGGAGCCCCATGTAGAGAGCATTACAGTAGTCCAGGCGGGACTACTAATGTAATAAGCCGTGCCCCGTTTTAGTTTATTCAACAGCCTTAGATTATTAGGAATCCTCTCTTCTGCCTGCTCTATCATGATGGGATAACAGGATTTTTATTTTTTTTTTGCACATGATTTCATTAAGAAACTCCCATTTAGGTTCTTTAATCAAAGAGTATCAAAATTGTTTGCAAATAGTTCTGGCCCTGCTTTTCAATTGGTTGCAATAAAAAGATGATTACTCCGATTCCTTCCTAGCAGCCACCATAAACAGACTTTGCAACCTGTTCTAACTGGGCCCTAATTGTATGTTATGCATAAAAGGGAGAGAAATTATAATAACTGCAATGAAGAACCCCGGTCACTTAATAGTTGAGTCGGGTTTGTGCATTCAGCTTTACTGACATAATCAAAAGCGGGCTGGTTTATCTGGGATGCTATCTTGAGACATTAAGGCTATAGCTGTCATACGTTCTGGCGATCAAACTGAGCTATCAAACAGGTGACGTAAACAGGTTTTGAGCGGATTCTTAACTAGCACTCTAAATCAGCATTTCCAATCAGGACTCTCACAATACTGTCTGGGGAATTGGAAACTCAAATTCACCCATCTGGGAAGCACCTGGATAAGACAAAAACTGTTCCAACTATTTCTTCCCAGCAACCCAGGCGTGAAATCAGACTTACTTTAAGTTGTCCGACTACCATACTGAGTATACAGCTGTCTGGAGTAGGCTGATGATCTTGGGATGTGATGCTGTGCTGTATTTTCTGAAAAGGAAGGCTCTGAAAGAGAAGGGAGAAACACAGAAGGATCTACCGGTCGTCCTCATTTGACCACCACTTATCATTTAGTGACTGTTCAAAGCTTAGGACGGCGCTGAATGAATTGCAGACACAAATGGTCCTAGGTTGGTTGCAGCGATCCCACGGTTACGGGATCACCGTGGGCGACCTCCTCTGCTCAAAGACGATGGGGAAGCTAGCAGGAGGTCGCATGTGGTGACCATGTGATGGCCTTGGGAAATGACAGGTGATTCCCTTAACGATCTCAACCGGAAGCGCTGGAATTTCCCTCGTTAAGCATCCTGGTCGGGCAACGTTGCAGCTTGCAACCGGGTCACTTAGCAATGAAAATTCCAGTCCCAAGCACTGCCATTAGGTGAGAACGACAGGGAGTCCTCGACTCGCGACAGTTCATTTGGCGACCGTTCAAAGTTACAACGGCACTGGGGGGAAAAAAGCGACTCCTGACCATTTTTCCCCACTTACAACTGCTGCAGCATCTCCCGCAGTCACGGGAGCAAAATCAGGCCGCCTGGCGACCGACTCGTATTTACGACGGTTGCAATGTCCCGGGGTCGTGTGATTCCCCTTTTGTGACCTTCTGACAAGCAAAGTCAACGGGGAAGCCAGGTGTAGTTAACACAGCGGTCCCCAACCGTCCCGGCTATGCGGACCGCAGGCAGCAGTGGGGGAGGGGATGGTTTTGCATGTGCAACCTAATTCGCACATGCGCAAATGGATCTTTGCGCGCTCCTTCGCACGGCCATTTCCCAACAGGCTGTGGGCCGGTCTGCGGACCTGGGATTTGGGGACCCCTGACTTAACAACCATGTTACTAACAACTGCGGTGATTCACTTACCAACTGTGGCATAAAGGCTGTAAAATGGGACAGAATTCCGTCTCATTTAGTTGTTTTGGGCTCAACTGTGACCGTAAGTTGAGGACTATCTATACCTATACCTGAAATGCAGAGGTTTACGGGATAAATGGCACTCCTTTACCTCCTGGAAAAGACTCTTATCCAAATTTGTGGTGGGCTTCTCTTTGTGCATTTTAAATAAAACTCCTGAGTGATAATAGTATGCCATGAAAACAATGGCGCTTACTTACAGGAGAGTAGATTTAGATGAAAACATTAAGATCACTATGTCCAGGACATAAAGGTCAATTAAGCCAAGAGCAGGCACCTCATGGCCTGCAGGCAGCTGCCCACCCAAAGAAATCTGACTTGCAAGGTGACATTTATTTCACTGTAAAGCTGGGACAATTTCTAGAATTTGGGAATGGTGATATAGGCCAGGGGTAGGCAACCTTGACTCTTTTATGACTCGTGGACTTCAACCCCCAGAATTCCTGAGCCAGCGTGGCTCAGCTTGGGAACCTCTCTCTTTCCCCTCAGCGTGGCTGGCTCAGGAATTCTGGGAGTTGAAGTCCACGAGTCATAAAAGAGCCAAGGTTGCCTACCCCCGTCTTAGGCTGAACATTAGAACTACAACGTAACAGAAACTTACTGAGAGTTTTTCAACAATAGCTACTTTGCCCTGAAATTGTAGTCCTTCCCATGTAAGGCATGAGGCATCTATCTGAAACAACAAAACAATAATCTGCTTAGAAGAAACAATATTTTGTACACTAGAAATAGTAACATATTGTTAAAAATAAATTAGTAATTTCCTCCAAGTCAAAACTAATTCAAGACAATCGTTATATATTAGATAAATACAGGCAATATATTAGTGACAAAGAGTAAATACAATTATGCTTAAGATTAAATTAATCTCAAGGTACTGCTAAACAACATTATGAGAGTGCCAGCATTATTGACCCCAAAGGAAGGTGGAGGTAAATGATAAAACAGCCCACAATAAAAACATCTGTTTCAGAGTTACTTACATATATTGATCCTAACTGAGTCCTGTCTGTATCAAATAACTGATAGTAATGCTGTACAAAGCTGGAACCAATCTGTTCCCAAATAGGTTTGTCTCCCATTCTGAATTCTCAGTGCAGCCAGCAACTGGAAGTAGAAGAAAAACATAGGATATTTGGCTTTATTCTGGATAGGTTGATGAAACCACTGACCTAGTGTATAGTTGTTATAAAAGCAGACAAATTCCATGTAGGAGAACATAATGAAAAGAAGCAAATATTATTATTATCAACATCAATCCATAATGTGACAAAACGTAGAATACCATTTACAGTTCTAGTCACGCCATTTGAAAAAAAAATATTCAAGCAGTGGAAGGAATGTGAATATACAATGAATTCAGCCTGATGCCTTAACCACTACACCAAACTGCATAAATGAAATATGGAATAGCATTCAATTGGATGAAGATGCTTTCATCCAATGGATGGGTCAATTCCTTTTAAAGCAAGTGTGTTTAATAAACAGTGATAGTTAATGTCAATTACAAAAAAAAACAAAAAACCCAGGTTCAACTACAATTCTTTTCCAAAATAGTAAACTACGCCTCCTTATAAACCACAGCAAAGCTATATCCAATCAAGTTATAAGCAGAGCAGTAAAGCAGATAGTCCTCAAACTACAACCAACATTGGAACTGGAACTTCTGTCATTGGGTGACGTGACCACACCTCTTACAGTAGTCCAGGTGTGGTGGTTAAGCCAGGACAGTGTGATTGTCACACTGTCATCTTTTCCTTAACTACCTACCGCATACCCATTGCTCCCCCTTGCCACTCCTATCTCCCTCCTGCTGGTGGGCCAGGATCCAGGAGCCGAGGGACAGCTTTGGGATGTGTGTGGTGACTGACAGAGTCTCTTCTGCTAAAGGGAGATTATCAAGCTTGGGTGAGAAGGCAGCAGGAGGAGGGTAAGGCATAGAACTCTCCATCACCAGGTGAGGTCGGAGAGCAGAAGGCAGTTCTCTAAGCCAGTGGTTCTCAACCTTTTTAATGCCGCGACCCCAACCGCTCGTAAGTTGAGGACTAAACCGGTCGTAAGTCGAGGACTAAACCGGTTGTAAGTCGAGGACTACCTAACCGGTCGTAAGTCGAGGACTTTCCCTGCCCGGGAGCGCCGCGCATGCGTGGTTCCGCCCCCTGCGCCGGCCGAGGCGTATCTGGCAAGCGGCAGAGACGGAGCAGGCCGACCACCAACTGGCCCAGCCCAAGGGAGGTAAGGCACCCGCCGGAAAAGGGGGGAAAAATGGCGGACAAAAAAAATGGCGGACAGCCTTGGTTGGCGACCCCCGTGAAATGGTCGATCGACCCCAAATGGGGTCCCGACCCACAGGTTGAGAACCACTGGTCTAAGCAAAGGTGGGAGGCTGTGTGGGAAGCACTCTGCAGCTCGTGTTGCTCCTGGAAAACCAGCCTCTGGGCTTCAGTTAGGAGTGGATGAAAGCCCAGCACCAACTGAACCTACGCACAAGGCCTCTGCTCACTCTTGGTCCAACCTTGGTCCTGCAAAGCCAGTGAGATTCACAGAACAGGGGAATGCCCTGGCGGGCATGTGCAATGCTGTGGCAGGCATGCGCAATACCCCAGCCAATCAGGAGGAGAGTGGCGCGCGTCTGCCAATCAAGGAAAGATGCGTGAGAACTCTCCCCGACCCCACTGCTTTTCTGGCTACCTAGGATCGACCAGTGGGTTGTGTTTGCGTTGGACGCCGCCAATAAGTAAGTGTATTCGTTGATGCTAAAATCTCTGTACCAGCCCCCGTACTCTCTTTTGTGCCTTGGGTCTTTCCTTCTTCCCGCTAAGTAAAAACTCAAGCTTTTTCGTTGCAAACACTTGAGTGGGAAAAGCACACAAGAGCTGAGGAGTAAGGTCTGGGAAAGGAATGCAATCCAGCTGATGGAGGGGATGGGAGAAGGGGAGCCAATCTGAAAAAGACCTTAAGACACTTAAAGATTTTTAAGATATTAAAAAAGTTTAAAAGGCCAAATCCTCTTCTCCGTCACGTGGCTCACCTTTCCAATGGCCAGAGATGTGGAACGGGCAGCCTTGTGGAACTGAAGGAACCCCCTGGCGCACATGGCTGCGGAAGATAGCAGGGCACGCTTTGATTGAGGGAGATGCGCACCTGCTACCTTGGCTGGCCGTGCTTGTGATTCCAGGACCCATCTGCCACCACCAAAGTCCTGAAAGGTCGCCAGTCCTGGACACCGTGCCAGAAGAACCTGGCTACCTAGGTATCCCAGTGCTGACAGCATGTAGGGCGGTGCCAGAGGATCTTTGTGAATGGAGGTTCCCTCAGGTCACATAAGCTGCAGGAAGCCTGTTTCTTCCCTTCCTCCAGTTCTGCCACCACCCAAAACAGTCTCTCTCTCTCTCTCTGCCGTCAACTCTCCTGCTTTGCCTGGTGATGGAGAGCGGGGAGATCCCTTTGGTAAACAAGGCTGCAGGACCCTGCCATGCTCACCAACCCTATTCCAGGGCTGCCCCTCAGCCAGTGTGTGGATTCCAGGCCACCAGCAGGAGGAAGATGATGGCGGTCAGTTGCAGGCAATGAGGGTAGCAGAGGTATGTGGTGGAGTGCAAGGCACTCAAGATGGCAAAGATGGAGGAAGACAGGTGGGATTAGGGGAGCTGACATGCTCCTGGGGTCAGAAGTGCAGGGGCCTGACTTTTGATCACATGACAGCGGAGGCTGCAGTGGCCATAACTTTGGGGACCAGCCGTAAGTCCATTTTTTTCAGTACCATTGTAACTTCAAATTGAACAGATTATGGTTATAAGTCGAGGACTACCTGTAAACTTATTAAAGACTGAAATGGAAAAGAATTCCCCTAAGATGATCCTCAAAAAAAATCCGCCTGATTAGCACAGCGGAACAGCTGCCTCATGTTTCCTGAAACGGCTACAGCCATGTTAAAAAAAAAAAAAAAAGATTAAGGGGTCAATTATTCTTCACAACTACTCAGGAAGTATTTAGATAGCTCTAATGGTGACAAATGCTTGAAGCAGGGAAGAACAAGGTAAAAGAAAGATTGATGAGCGCTCAGAACAGATAGCTTAATCTGTCCAGTGTTTTGCAACAGTACACACAGCTTGACTTGCACATTCATTTTAATCTGGGATTAATGTGACCATGGAAACGTGGTCAGACAGTTGAGAAAGGTTTACAGATTCTGGCTAGCTGGCGGTTCTTTAAAATGCTGGGCAGCCAACATAAAATATTACTTTAACACTGATGTTTCTAATGAAATGTAATAGTATCTGCGTTTAGAACGTTCAGCGGCGAAAGGAAAGCAAAACCCATCGGCAAGGCTGACCAAACTTTTTCAGGGTACAGAAAAGTATGTAAAAGACAGTAAGATTCTATCTTATGAAAAGCAAACGTCCGTGCCAATCCTTCTAGAGTTTTTGACAAACTGAAGCCCGTGACTTAGTTGTATGTTGCACATCTCTTCAGAGTGATTATGAGTCTGGATGGAGAACAACAGACTTCTGCTAAACCCTGGCAAGACTGAATGGCTTTGAGTTTTTGAGGCTGTACAATTCTAGGACAACATTATTTTCGGTGCTGGATGGGATGGCCTTGCGTGCAATCTGGGGTTCTTTCTGGACTCCTGACTCCTGCTTGAAAAGCAGATGGCAAGTCAGGGCCTTTACACAGCTTTGTGCTGTGTGACAGTTGTAGCTGTTCCCGGATCAGGGGACTCTGCTCACTGTCACTTATGCCTTAGTCACCACCCAACTGGGCTACTGTAATTGCTCTACATTGGGCTGCCCTTAAAGAGTATCTGGAAACTTCAGATGGTGCAGCGTGGAGTTATGTGTGCTCCTAGATTGGCATGCAACACATCTCTCCTCCACAAACTGCATTGTTGGCCAGTTTGCTTCCAGGCCCAATTCAAAGTGCTGGTTTGATCTTTAAAGCACTTTGTGGCATGTTATTGGATTATCCGAGAGACTATCTCTCCTCAATTACATCTGGCCATCCCATCAAATCTTGCAAAAAGGCATGCTGCAGGTCCCATCTTATAAGGAACTACACTTGATAGATCCCAGAAGGCAGGCTTTCTCTGCCACGGTGCCCACCTTTATGAAATTTTTCCTCCACTTATAGAATCTTATCAGGAAGTGAGGTTAGCCCCATCCCTGTAAACATTCACGGAAAGCTTTGGGTCAATTCCTCTCTCTCAGCCCAACCTACCTCAGAAGGATGTTGCTGGGGGGAAAAATAAGAGGAGCTTTATGTATGTTTACCGCCCAGAATCACTTTTTTGTGAGATGGGCAGTCATGAAAATTTTTACTTATAAAAATCACTGTCGGCAAGTCCGTCAGAATACAGAAGCACAAACCCAGAGATTTTACAATTCCATTCTAATTTTTTTTTTCTAAAAGAAAATGCAGCGTAATCAGCCACTTTCCAATTTACATCAGCCTATCTTCTGGTCACCTGCACTTGAACTATATTGGTTCTTCCAATGTACATATAGCAGCTCTACTTAGAATTGCCAAATTTTGCTATCTGGATTTTTTGCTATGCACATCAAGGAGCCTTATGTTACTTTGTATTTTCTCGTAAAAATAGACAAGTATAGCCATGTCTTTGTTCAGACTTTGCTAAACTGGTGCTATTGTGACAACTCCTGAGATCCTCATCCAGCCCAATAACTATACTTAGAGAGGGAACTTAAGAGTTATAACTGATCCATTCAAAAGGCATCAGATTGCAAAGGTCTGTATTAACTACCAAACTGTTTGGCATGTGACTCTTCTGATCATATAACATTTATAGATATTTAGGTTTTATGTTCTACATCCCACACATTAGGAAGCTGTGCATATTTACTTGTCCCTCCCTGCTTGGATATCTTTCTCATTTTTCTCAAAGCTTTGTTGTTGTTGTTAATTGCGAAGTCGTGTCCGAACCATCGCAACCCCATGGACAACGTTCCTCCAGGTCTTCCTGTCCTCTACCATCTTCTGGAGTCCATTTAAGTTCACCTCTACTGCTTCAGTGACTCCATCCAGCCAAAAAATGGACGATTCTAGGCTGCCCATTTCATGTCCTAATTCATTTGTGCCAACACATTTCTATTACGTTTAGTACAGTAGCTCAATTTTATAACTTTGATGCAGGGCTTTTTGGGGCACCTTAGCTTATACTCTCTTACCGTTCAGTCATTGTTAAGTTTAACCACTTTTAACAGATCCCTCAAGCATCCCATTATTTTTCATTAGAAACATTATTTATGAACCCAATCTCGCATTTGTCATTTATCTTTGCATGAAATCGAGAGGGAAACCTTAAAGAACTTCCCATAAGATGTAGCTTGGGAGGTTTTTTTCTCAAACTCGGCCAACTTTTTTAAAAAAAACGTGGACTTCAACTCTCAGGATTGTCCATGCTGTTTGGGGCCCTTCTGAAGTCCAGACACCTTAAAAGCTGCCGAGTTTGAAAGACGCTGATACAGACCTACTTGAAAAGAAAAGGAAAAAAAAAGGGGGGGGGGGGAAATCCCAATTCTATGTCTAAAAAAAAAAGAAAAGGGAATTGCTTTGCCGAGAAGCAGGCTGATCCACCCCGAGATCGACAACACGCGGCACCCGTACACCACGTGCACAATTAACACCGGCCATTCCCTTTGAAAGATCATTACTATTATTATTATTATTATTATTATTATTATTACTATTATTATTACTATTATTATTAATCTTTTTAAGGGGATATAACCGGAGGAGGACCGGAGGGGACGGCTTCTCACTCAATTGCCCAATTGCCCCATCCCGAATCCTCAAAAGCAGCGGCCGCAAAAAGGAAAAGGAAAAAAAGGAAAAAAAAAGGAGGGGGGGGGAGAAAAAGGAAGTCATTTCCAGCCCAGCCCGGAAGACTTTCAAATCGCGCGCCTCCAGGAGGAACCCGCAAAGCACGTGGCCGCCCAGGACCACCGGGGCGCGGACCTGGCCCGTTCACACGTGCATTTCCCGCGCACGCCGGAGAGGAGGAGGAGGAGGAGGAGGGGGGGGGGCAGGTCTCAGGCGGAGGGCGGGGAAAGGAGAAGAGGCGCCCCGGATTGAAAGAGCCTCTCGAGGCGGGGAGGCACGCCCTTTCCCGGCCCTTCCCTCTCCTCTCCTAAGGGAGGCTGGGGAAAGAGGGGGCAGCGCCCAAGCGCAGGCCCGCGGCCTGAGCCTCTGCAAAGCGGGTCGCCTCCTCCGCGGCTGGGCCTTCCCTTCGGCCTCCCCGCCCGCCCGCCTCAGGCGCCCCGCGGCCCCCGCGCTGCAGCTTCCTTACCGGGCTGAGGGCGATGGCGGCGGCGGCGGCGGCGACGAGCGGAGCCCGAAGCCCCCGAGCGCAGCCTCACTGTCTCTCTCGCCGCTTCGCCCGCCGGCCCGCCTCTTCCGGCCACGCCCCCCTGTCTGTCTGTCTGGCGGGCGGGCGCGCGGCTCCATTCCCCGGGCTGCTGGGAAGGCGAGTTTCTTGGCGCTCCTTTGCCGTTGGGCTTTCGGCGGACAAAAGGCGGGCACTACAGCTCCCAGCAAGCCCCGCGCGGGGAGGCGCCCGACCCGAAGGGGCTGCTTAGGAAAGGGGTTCGGGTGCCAAAGGAGAGGTTGACTGATTGTTTTGAGCTTCGGCCTGAGTAGAATTAGAGGCCCGACTCCATAGGAGGGTGGCTTGGCTGGCTCTGAGGAGGTTCGGCTTGGAATGATCCGTTGGAAAGGTAGCAAGTATTGGAGGGAAAGGACTCTTGCTGCCCGTGATGCCAAACTCCAGGGGGGGTCTTCAAACTTGGCCCTTTTATGACTTGTGGACTTCAACTCCCAGAATTCCTCAGTCAGCGTGCCTTGCTGAGGAATTCTGGGAGTTGAAGTCCACTAGTCATGAAGGGGCCATAGTTCCCCCATGCTGGCTGAGGAATTCTGGGAGTTGAAGTCCACAAGCCATAAAAGGGCCAAGTTTGAAGAGAGACCCCAGGCAAACAGGACATGCCAGCTCTTTGCTTCAGCTCCACCCACTTATGGGTAGTCCTCGGCTTACGACCACAACTGCGTATTGCATTTCTGTGGCTGAGGGAGACATTTGATAAGTGAGTTTCGCCCCGTTTTACCTCTCTTGCTTGCCTCAGTTGTTACATGAAATCACTGCCGTTGGTAAGTTAGTCACCTGGTTGTTAAGTTGAATCTGGCTTGCCCCACTGACTTTGCTTGTCAGATGGTTGCAAAAGAGGATCACGTGACCTTGGGACACTGCGGCCGTCGTAAATAGGAGCCTGTTGCCAAGCGTCTGAATTTGGACCATCACATGTTCATGGAGAGGAGGCAAAGGTCATAACTATCAAAAACAGTCATAAATCACTTTTTTCAGTGCCGTTGTAACGAATTATTGCAAGTCGTGGACTATTTGTATTGTAGACCTGTGTTCTGAAACAAAGGTCTAGAAGGTAGCAAGTATTTGGGGAAAGAACATTTGCTGCCCGTGATAGCAAACACCAGGGGTCTTCAAACTGGCCCTTTTATGACTTGTGGACTTTCAACTCATAGAATTCCTCAGCCAGCGTGCCTGGCTGAGGAATTCTGGGAGCTAAAGTCCAGAAGTCATAAAAGTTGTCAAGGTTGCAGACCCCTGGTCTAGAAGGCCACCACAGCTATGAATATTTCTGCCGTGGCAAAGGATTGGAACAAAATTGATCTAGTTCCACAGATGATCCTGTAGCACAGATTCGTCATCTTTAGCCACTGTGCGATTAACAGGCTTTATAAACCTGAAAAATTACGATCGAGAAAGGCAGGGTCTGTTAAACGAGCAAGAACGGAATGTGAACAGTCTCCACAGTGAGTATCTTTATGATGCAAAAAAGGGTAAGAAAAGGCTGATGTTGAAACATGGCAATTGCACAGGTTACAGTTTTCAGAAGAAATGTGGGAAGGGATCATGCATTCAAAGTAGAGGTAATACATTCTTATGTATGGTCATATGTCTCTTCGATTGCTGAATCAAACAAGAATTGATCCTCTACCTTTTAAATATAAAAGATATCCAAATACATATCTGTTTGCAGGTGAAATGCATTGCTTTCTTCATTTACATCAAAGGAAAAAAAAAGTACTAAACCGCTTTAAACCACAACCGTATTCACAGAACTAGCCAAAGCAAACTACATCATGCCTTAAAAGACAAAGAGTTTTCCATAGTTTTGATTTAGCAATTGTGTTTTCTGAAACATGATTTGTGCCTTAATTTATTGTTTGAATGTAGACTTTATATATTGAACTGGCAGGCAATATACAACTGTAAAAAACATGGACAATAACTTTACTGTTAAATTAAAATTAAAATGTTAAACTGGCTTAATTATGCATCAGATTGTCATGGGGAAAAAACTGGGATAACATTTTCTGGGCTCCATGGACAAATTGTACACTACAACGTAACAAAACAAAATAGATTTTATTCAAATTAAGCGTATTTGTTAGCACCTCAGGATAACCAGGAAAATAGAACAGTCCAACATAGATAACCAGTTCAGCAGTCCAATCAACTGAACATGTTTTAGTGCATAATGATGGTAGAAAAGTACCACATTGGTCACAACACACACCTTCAAAACACTCTCAGCCAGCTAGAATGCACAGGCATTTATTTACAGAGAGAAAACCAATGTATTGCCCAGGATCCTAAAAGGTGAATATGAGCAAATCAAAAAGGTGTGTGCTCAAACCTGACCTAAATGCAACACTCAGTAGCAAAGATATTCTGTATCCGAAGTATAGGGCAGCACTGTAATTTGCTAAATTTGGAGTATTTAAATCCAAAATAATAGCAAAAAATGGACATTGTTCTTGGAACTTCTACTCACAAGGACTGGATAAAAGTTCTCAATGACTACAGCTGAGAGTTTGTACAACCCAATGAATGTAAATCCTAAATTTCTACTGTCATATCCTATACAGTCACTTACACCAACTGCAGAAGAACGAAAGAACTGGGTGAATCTTATGACGTAGTATAATAGGGAGAAAGAATAATCACATTAAACATATACTTTCATCATAGTAGGTTTTCAAGCTTTAAAATTTAACTTTAATTGTGGATGTGTACAACATATATAACCAATATATATGACTGTGGTTCCTATTCATATTGATGGTGGGGAAAAAAATACTATAACCAATTTTTTTTAAAAAAATTGGACAGCTGGCCATTCTGTTCCTCATCAATGTCATCAGGTCACAGCAGCTCCAACAAAATAAACACTTACGCCTGGAAATGCAAAAGTCAGTGTGCTTATTAATAAGATGATGTGAAAAAATGACAACTTAGGAAAACACAACCTCACCCAATGTTTTACTGTTTCCTTCCTTTTAATTTAACCAACAGTTTGATATCTCCTAAAGAGCTGACAAAACAATGTATTATGGTACGTATTTGAAATATATTCCAAAGAGAGGCACTATGTATCTAGGTGGGTGGATGCAGAAAAATTAACATCCTTTTGTGACAAAAGTTAAGTCCTTCTTCCTCCTCACACAACTTTTAAGACAAATGGCAACAGTTTTACAGAGATATAAGTTAAGCACTGACTTCCCCAGATAAAGTTGTATCAGGCTACAACCAAATCACTATACGATATTATGATTAGAGTTCTATAAGAGTTGTAGTTTTAATGCATCTGGAGAATGTCAGGGTGAAAAAAACTGCTTAGGACTTGAACTCTGCACCCGTTCCTCTCAAGTTCAGTTTTCAATCTATGCGCATGGCACTTTCTTCAAGACTTGAGGAAATACAGTGGATTCAGAAGTAAGAAAGTATGCGTAATTAGGGGAGGTTAACCTCATTGCTCTTTTGCTAAGGAGACTAAACCCCAGAAAAATATAAAGGAAGGCTACTGCTCCTCACTGGTTTTCCAAGGGAAAAATACATTTGTTGGAAACTGAAACAAGCAACGTTTGCATGCCCGGAAGGACACGGATTCGTGAAACGACAGAAGAGCCACAATCCCTTTGTCAGCTGAAAGAGAAACAGAAGCAAAAAACTAACTCCAATGGCAATATGGAGATAACAAACAACATCCTCCTGATATCCTCTTTAAATATTAAGGATTCGTTTTGACAATAGAAATGGCACACTCTGCATCAAAAGGTTCTGGGGGGAGGCGCGGGCGGGCAGAGAGAGAAGAATTGCCTTACAACTCCCTTTCCTAAAAAGGAAAGATAAATGCACTGATGGCTGTGGATTTTTCACATGACATTTTCCGCAGGACAATCCCGGTACGACGCTGTGACACAGTGCCCTGGCCGCCTTCATCGACTCCGGTACGAACGGTTACAACGGTTAACAAGCCGAGTGCGCCTGTCTCGAAAGCAACTGATTTCTTTCCTCAAAGTTAGCTTTGTACGCAACATGGTGGTTTGGCTGCAGGTGGCAGACGCTAACAGTCTAGCTCCACGAGGGCAACGAATGCTCAAAAGGGACTCGGTTCCGACCGAGCCGGCATCACCCAGAGTACCACAGCAGCCGCGGACTTGCCACGACGCTCAGAACAGTATGTGTAATGCAAGGAGCATCGGCCAGAGCGACCAGAATCCCAGGGCATCTTTTTTTAAAAGTATTGCAGCGGGGGGGGGGGTGTCTCGGTGGGATGAACGTTAAGGACGCGTCTTTAGGTCCCGCGGATTAAATCCGGGCCACAAAGGAGCCTGGGCTTCGGAAGCAGAGAACCAGGGGCTCAGAACTGGTCACTCCCCCGGGGCAGGGTAGCGCTGCCTAACCAGGGCGGAAAAGGTCATTTGGGCAGCTGCCTGGAGCGCCGTTCGTCTTTCTCTCCCCCCCCCCTTGCAAAGTCTTTGTTGCCCAGATGCAAGAGTTGCCCCCCTCCCCTTCCAAGATTCCCCCTCCCCATCCCGGCACATTCCCGGCAGGCAGGCAGGCAGGCAGGGAGGGGTCGCCTCAGAGGCCGTGGCGCTTGCGGGCCACCCCCCCAGCCAAGCTGGCAGCGTGCAGCAAGCGGTCCTTCTCCCGGATCTCCTCCCGCAGCTGGGATTCGGCCAGGCGGAGGCGCCGGATGCTGCCCTTCATCTCCTTCATCTTGACTTCCAGCAGGGCGATGATGTCCCGCTGCTCGTTCAGCTTGCGCAGCAGCTCGTCCGACGTGGTGCCCGACGACAGCGAGTAGGAATGGTCCGGCGGGAGGTCCAGCAGCGGCCCGTTGTCGGCCAGGAAGGCCAGGTGGACCGGGGGCCCCATGAGGGCGCCGGGGCCCCCCAGCTCCATCTGCACCGTCAGGTCCATGGGCTTGACATCCTCCAGCGGGAGGCCGTCGGGCCCGACGCCCCCNCGCCTGGGCGGGGGCGTGGCGGGGTCTGCGGGCGCCGCGCGCCCCTTTGCGCTCGTTGACCCCCCGCAAGGGGAAGATGGTGGGGACGCGCACCAGGTAGGACTTGCGCCCGCCGGGGAAGTGGTCGGAGCAGACGCGGTGGCCCGTGGTGGGCTGGAAAGTGCTGAAGCAGCCGCTGACGCCGGCGCGGGAGACGTTCTTCAGCCAGAGGCGGCGCAGCTCCGCGTCCTTCGGGAAGGTGTAGAAGTGGAGCGCCTTGTCCCGGTGCGAGTTGTTGTAGCAGCCTGGCACGCAGCACGTGAACCCGGGCATGGTCCGCGCGGGGTGCCTGCCTCCTCCTCCGCCTCCTCCGCCGCCGCCTCCTCCTCCTTCCCCCGGCGGGCCCGAGGCGGCGGGACTACAGATCCCACAAGGCCTCCCGATTGCGCCTCCGAGAAGGCGGCGGCTGCAGCTCCTTCTCCGGCGCCGACGCCACAGCGGCAGCCTGCCCTCCCCGAGAGCGCCACAGGAAACGGAACTACCCGCCCCACAAAGCACCGCGGCCACACCGGAACTCTCTTTCCCAGCGGGCACCGCGAGCCCAGGCTTGGAAAAGCGCGGGTTTCCTCCAGGAGGGGGCGGGGCAGGGGGGAGCTTGGAACTACGCGTCCCAGGCGCCATCGCGAGAGGCCGCCTTCCCACAAGCCTCTGGCTTTATTATGTCTTGGATTAAAAGCTTGACGTTCCTAAGTCTGTTAATTTATTATTTTTCACCTGTTCATTATTATTTTTCTCTTGGAGGCGCTGGTCGGAAGGGTTGTTTCTTTCTCTCGTTTGGTGCGTCCGGGATAATGCCTCATCTGGGAAAGCGCGGGAACTCTGCCGACGAACGGCCTATGAATTGTGGAAACAAAACAGAGGAAAAGAAACTACGCTTCCCACAATGCAACGGGCTCTGCTTCCATAGACGTTCGATTCGCCTCTTACTGCATGGGACACGGTTGCCGGGACAGCGGCGTTCGTTTTCCTCGTTGCCACGGCAACCCTTTATTAGCCGCAGCAGCATCCATAAGCCTTGGCCGTGGTTCCCTGAGGACCAGTTGGTCGGCCTTGTGGGATCTCCCCACCTGAAGTCCACTCCACATCCGAAGAATCAAAGGAATGCAAAGCAAGCATTGTTTTAAATCAGGGGTAGTCAACCGTGGCTCTTTTATGACTCGTGGACTTCAACTCCCAGAATTCCTGAGCCAGCCATGCTGGCTCAGGAATTCTGGGAGTTGAAGTCCACGAGTCATAAAAGTGCCAAGGTTGACTACCCGTTTTAAATAAAAGACAATGTTGCTGCTGACATGTGTTGGCCTCTGATATTGCTACATCGCTTAGAAACAGTATCTGAGCTTCATTTTTGTGGATTTCTAAAGTTCTAAATGAGAACAAAAATATCTTTTAAATTTCTTTTATAAATATCACAACATCACCAGGAAACAGCATGGATATTTCTTTTTCTTCAATTAGAGATCGCAAAGGTGCTTTTTCCAAAGGGCAATTGGACTTCCTTGTTTTTTTTCTTTCAAAACATTTCGCTTCTCATCCAAGAAGCTTCTTCAGAACAAACTGAAGGCATAGCATGACATGACTCTTCTAATATTCTAATATTGAGAGGACAGCTTTTCCAAGAAAAAACATTTTATTAATTTGCTTTTAATAATATTTAGTGAGTTTAATAACTTCTATGGGTGAATGCAACTTTGAGTCAGTGTTGACTTCTGGTGATTGTCTAGATAGGTCTTTGCAGTTGTTTTGACAAGATTTTGGATGTGGTTTGCCATTGCCTGTTTCCTCAGGCTGAGAGATAGTGACTGGCCCAAGGTCACCCAGCCTAAAGCGGGACTAGAACTTACAGTCTCTGGTTTCTAGCCTGGTGCTTAAGCACTTCATCAGACTGGCTCTCTAGCTATTTTTAATGCCCTCTAAAAGCCACTTCCATTACTAATGATCTTGAATAATGATTATCTACAATTTCATGAAATTCTCCAGTTATTACTCAGTGGCTTTCCCCCCAGTGTTCAATATTTCTATCTAGTAAGCATTTAATTAACTAGGTTTTAACTCAGGTATTAACCAAGCTTAGCTCAAAAGCAGCAATATATAAATACAAATACATAAACAAAAATACAATCACTGTATTTACGAGCATAAAAGCATAACATTGAGTATATTCACTCAGCAAGAAAATTTACTAAGTATTTAATTACTTTGCTGACTTCTTTATTAATCCCCAGTCATTTCAGAACAGTCCTGTTTTAAAAAGTTTTTTTTTTTTATTAAAATCAAGAGTGCAGATCTTATATTTCAGGGGAAGGCCTTCAAATGGAGAATTCCAGCGGAGAATGCTTGCCTTCAAGTTCTGTCACAGCAGATTGCACACTGCTGACTTAAGTAATATAAAATTATTGCTGTTGCCTTTGATAGGGTTTGTATTAATGCTGGGCTAAATAGATCAGAATCTGAGGTAATAAACAATAAGCTACCAGATCTCTATAGTTTCTGGTCCATTACCAAGTCCTCCAGATTCCAAAGCTGTGTATTTGTTTACTGTTTAACTTGTTTGGTTTTGAGTTAGCATATTGTGTGAATCCAGCCTTCCAACTAGCCTTCCTCAATCTGCTGCCTTCAAAAATCGGTTGGAGTGGAACTCCCATATTTCTAGCTCGCATAGCTATGTTCGGAACTGATAGAAGAGGGTCCCTTTATTCACTGTTAGGAGTATGCAGAATTATTTGTCCAGCTGGACAAGGATGCAACTGAGAACTGGAATCCCGAACCTTTTCAAGATTGCACAGAAGAGCACGTTACTGCGGGATGATTAAATGCTAGAATCCTACTAAAAAAAGATGCAAGCCACCTTTCTTCTTTTTCTTAGGGCTGCCAGGTGTCCACTATTTGAGTGGACAGTCCACTTTTTTCACATTATGTTCACTATTTTTTTTTCACAAAATAGTGGACATTTTTTTTATTCAAAAGCTTTATGATGAAATGGTACGTAATCTAAAGCTGTACAGTCTACTTTTTTTTACTACTTAACCCCCCTCCCCGCTTGTCCGCTATTTTTTGGAAGCAGACCTGGCAACCCTACTTTTTCTTCTTATTTCCAAGGAACCCTTGTCTCCTTATCCCAGAGGCGGCAGAACAGCCTTCCCGAACTCCATCCCACCCTGCGACGCAAATCCCCGCGCTTTCGTGGGGAAACAAACACGCTAGGAATGGAAATCAGCCCACGTCCAGTTAGCAGTCCAACGTTTCTGGGCGGGCTCTACCCGGAACTCCATCTCCCTGCGGCCCATGCGAGGCAGGGAGGCTGGAGCGTTCTCGCGAGAGTTGCTCGGCGGCGGTGTCTGCTTGAATCCCGACGCGGGAGAGGACTTTGCAGAGCGCCCGCGGGCTCTTTCCAGTCTCGTAACGGTCTCGGCGGGCGAGCCATGGCCAGCCGAAGGAGCCTGCGAAGACAGCCGGAGAGGGAACCGCAAGGGCGCAGGAGGTCGCTGCGGTTGGTTAGCCAGAAGGTGCGGGGGCTAGAAGGCTTGGGCGGCATCCCCTTCTCCCAGTAACCCGACCAGAGAAGCGTCGCTTTCCTATGGGTGGGTGGGGTGGACTCCAGTTCCTATCATCCCCAGCCCTCCTCCCTCTCCCGCCTGTGTTGGACTACCGTTCCCATTCCCAACATGGCCCTGCTTGCGAGACTCCAGCAGGATTATATCTACCGCGAGCCTCTTTTCTTGGAAAAAACGAAGGTCCAGCCTGAAAAAGGGGCAAATCTGGGGGGGGGGGGAAGCTCACAAGAACTGGGGGAAAAAAAAACCCCTAATTGTTTATGTTTACAAACTGCTTTACAAAGGAACGTTCAAGAGCAAAAGCAAGAAAAAAAAATGAATATGAATGACAGGTTTTTTGAAATGAAGGACTATCCTTTATAATAGAGGGCATATGGTCACTGTAGTTAATGGTGGTGAGCCTTCTCCCACTTAGTTCTGAAATGCAGGAATAAACCTCTCCATCCATCTGAGTAAGCCTGAAAATGTGAGATTTGACTATTTAGGGGCAACAGTCTCTTTGTATGTTTCCAGAGTAAAGACAAGAATTGTTTCCCACCTTACTTCATTGATTCCCCCCCCCCCCTTTGTGCTTTCTTGAAAGATATTGTCAAGGAACAATAGACCCAGGCATAGTTGTTTAAGAGAGAACTCCAAAGCTTTTCTTTAGGGAAAATGACTTGCATTGTATGATGTACTAGATTAGGCTAAAATAGCATTATGCAGCCATTGTTTTAGTGTGTAGAGTGAAGAAAAAGAAACACATAAACTATAAGATGTAGTACATGGCTTTATATTTACATGACAATATAAATCTCCACAAAATACAGCCTTATTCAGCCTAACTTTTATGTAATAAGCAGAATAAGAGGTGATGTCCCTGCTTAATTGTTTGTATTCATGAATTCTGGTATTGAATTAGTGGAATGCATCATTGCCCCTTGTTTTTTACAATTGCAATCACCGTCTTTGGGCTGTTTTTATTTCAGGCTGTACCCTTCAATCAAAGATCTGTGGCTTACCAGGCACCTACCACCTCTGCATTGATGGATTTTGCAACACCTCGAACCGTTTTTAAGAAGGTCCTACAGACACGTAAGTATGGGTGGGGGAGAGCAACGTTTCAGGTCATTTTACATTGGAGAAGTACAGAATCCCAGATAAAACAGAGTCATTGCTAATTACAGGCTACTCACAACAACAAAGACCCAGAAACATGTTACCAAAAATGAAATACTTCAGTGACAAGTTTAAAATTTTGAAAGGATAATCTGCATTTTGAATGTTCACTATCTTAATTTGCACACTGTTTATTAGCTACAATATGTTCCACATCCAGAAGGATGGCTAGTTAACTCTCCCCACCCAGAGTCAGTTGTATCTTTGTGTTATGCCAAATGAGAGGAACAGTCTAGGATGTTCT